AGAGAGAGAGAGAGAGAGAGAGAGAGAGAGAGAGAGAGAGAGAGAGAGAGAGAGAGAGAGAGAGAGAGAGAGAGAGAGAGAGAGAGAGAAACCGCAGTGAGTGATGGATACTATGCTTCCTTGAAGTAACGATGAAGTAACAATGAAGTTCCTTCGACTAACAGGCACCACACCCAGCATAGTCATCTCCCTATTTGATGAACATTTGAAATGATTTGATTAGATAGATCTGACAATCCTCAGTTGATGAGATACATCTGCTACGATGAATGATCAACGGGGATACTAGGCGTATGTACAGGCAAATGGATTTCCTTTTTTTTTGAAGGCAAATAACTTATCTGTTAATGGGGGAGGGGGAATGCTTCTATATGTCAGCTGCTACCCATGGCCAGCTCCCAGTTCCTCCCAGTTGACCATTCCCAGGTCGTTGCAGGGAAGCCTGATGTGACTGTGATGTCAGATATCAGGTGGTGTCAAGCTGTCACCTGTGACTCCAGGTGATAGCCATCAGGCAGTGTCAGGTTGTGACTGGCTGTCAGCTGTGACTCCTGTGACCAATCATTCTGGTTCCTTGTATGGTACTGATAGTCAGTATATCAGCAGAATCCAACAGATAAATGTGTTTGCGGGTGACAGGTCGCGAACCAACTCTATACGGGGGGGCGGAACGGGTGGGCAATTGGTGGAATGACACGGATCGACCAAATCTACTGCCATGCGAAAGACGAAAAGTAATGCTCTAATGCCGGGGGGAGAAAAAAAAGATAAAAAGCTCTGATAGTCTAGTCACTAGTGTCATGAAAAGCACAGCTAAGAAGAAGCAAGGAGGGTAAGGATTCTAAGGAACACAACAGTCAATTTGCAGATGTTGGTGACAGAAAGGATCATTACCAATGCATTCATAGCTCCGGCCTTCTTGTTGTGATCGATTGTAGGTCTCTTCTCACGGGAAACGTACACCTGCAGCCATCAACGGACATCCGATCTTGTCACCATTGAACTTATTTGCACCACCATATGAAATGTGTTTCTCTTCCCTCTCTTCCAAACTGCACAGCCGGGCCTTGCCAAATTGTCATGCTAAGTAAACGACAGATCCTCAACTCAAATGCGCTTCTATATCTGATTTCCTCTCAAGAATTCAATAAAGACCGATTAATAACCCTTCCGAGTCCCAACTACTCAACGAACAATAATCAAGCAACTGCAATTGCATAGCAGTTGGATAACTGCATTATCATGGATGGACGCTCAGGTGTCACAATTCATACCATATCTTTAATTGGACAGACAGTCACAGACTAGCAGCCTACAGTGCCCTACACTGCAGTGAAGAACCTGCGGGTAATGATTGGCCTGACAGGCTGACAGGCTGACAGAATAAGCCCAACATTTACCACCTGCTGAACAGAATCTCTGCAAATGCCATTATAGCCCAATGTAGTGAATGATGGGATGACCGGGTAGTAGAGTACAGGTCCAGCACGCACCAGTCTAGGCAGAGGGTTGCCATTTATGTCCTTCGTCTCGCCATCGGGTTGGAGAAACACCTGCGCGTTCCCAAAACGAGTACAGAAAGCACAGAAAGCAAATGGTCAGTAGTTACCACTTTGCTTTCGACCTGAGATGACGCTGGCAGTGGGAAGCAATCATCACCGGGTCCAAACACCTTGTTTCCAACTAGATCAAGCTCTCTCTCTCTCTCTCTCTCTCTCTCTCTCTCTCTCTCTCTCTCTCTCTCTCTCTCTCTCTCTCTCTCTGTGTGTGTGTGTGTGTGTGTGTGTGTGTGTGTGTGTCTCTCTCTCCCTCCCCCTCCTACATCTCTCTCTCTCTCTCTCTCTCTCTCTCTCTCTCTCTCTCTCTCTCTCTCTCTCTCTCTCTCTCTCTCTCTCTCTCTGTGTGTGTGTGTGTGTGTGTGTGTGTCTCTCTCTCCCTCCCACACAACACGCTGTGGAATGTGCATGTTTGCGTGAAACAACTTCCAGGCCAAGTGGTTCCATGTGCACTGTCACACTGTGTATCCAGTCGATGACCGTACCTGAATCATTGCAGCGTGGTCTCTCCTGTTGTTCCCAGGCCAAGGGGTTCCGTCTGCCATCTTCCACCCATCTTTTGGCACGTCCCGAGATTTCGCGACCAGAGCATTGATCCGAACCTTGAACTCATCATACGCTCTCTGCATGCGAAATAAAAAAGATACGGCTCAGCGGCTGATAAACCAAGAAGGAAGGAACAATTTGTTAGGTGATTAAAAGTTAAAACACTACGTCAGATGCAAGTTGATTCAGCCTTCAGGGCCCTTTTCAGGCACACTTGTCAAGTGTGCCTGAAAATTCAGAGTCGCTCTGATATGGTCGTGATTCAGAACACGAGTACATTTTCGGACAATTCAGAGTTAGTCTATTCTGCTGATCCCATCAGGACTCGAACTTGTTCTATTTATCAACAGTTGCATGGCTGTACGGCCTGTACCTGTACGCAGTGTACGGTTGTACCAATTAGACACATCACACATCGGCTGGGTCACAAGATCTTTTAGACCGGTTCGTTTCCGTTTTCTTTGTTCTCCGAGTGGGATCGATGGATTACAGAACCGACACACCTATCTCTCACCTAGCACTGGATCTGGAGGAATGGCAACGGACCGTTTCAATCGGACGTGGTAACTTGTAAGTCCCACACCCACCACCTCCACTCCCTGACTGTTAAAGCCTCATACCGGGTGTTGGTGTTGCAGCCTGCATTGAATGTTAAAGACAAGGTGGAGGAACGCTGGATGAGACACCTAAACGTAGGGAGGGTGGCTCTGCGTCATATTAAATGGTTTCAAACCACCAAGTCCAAGCCAGCAAAGGTAGCTTCCCTACAATGGCAGTTGGAACATCATGATAGGTGCCTTCCCAGAGTCCCCACCAATGACTGGGTAACCTATCGCACGCACCTGGAGGCTGGAACAATAGGGACGGGCCCTTCCATGGTGCAAACTCTGTAGCACATCCTTCCTGTCCCGCAAAATTTCTAACACCATGGAGGACATACTGCTCCAATGCCCCCCGAGGTATTTCCCTCCCCTGGCCATGGGACTGGAGATGGGTGTTTCCCTCCCCTGAAAAGCCCAGCTGTGCAAATCATGTCACCCTGACATCGTGACCAAGCCACCGCCTTTGCCCACAATATGTTTATACCTCCGCACCATCATTTGGGCTATGCGATGGCGACGGTGCACTTTTGAGACGGAAGTAGTTCGCCTGTAAGGGCCATACTTCACTGACTCTATCAAACAATTTTGCACATCCAAACACACGTTACTAGTAACTTACTACAAATGGGAGTTGGTAAAGGACAAACTGAGTTTTCTACACTGAGTACACTCTTATCCAGAAATCCAAGACCATACCAAACAATTTTGCAGACTGGCTGCCAGCCTGCCAGTGGCTGAGGTGTGACCAGGGGGGCTAGGTGGCAGACGTCACGAGACGTGGAATGGAAAGGGGCAACAGGGGATGAGCAGGGAGGGCTGACCTGGCCCACCCGGGAATACCACCTTCTCTTCCACGATTTGACCCTCAGACCCAGATTGGTGCTTCTGTCCCACTCCAACCAATGGCATTATCAGACTTCCCCGATCTTTCGCCCCCGCCCGCCCTCTCCTTGGTGGATATGCAGTGATTCGGGGTGGAATGATGCTACTCATGTTGGTCTTCTATTTCATTCTATCATATGTCAAATCTTTGTCAAATGTTCGGCATTGTTCGCTCTTGTTATTCAGCACAGAGTGTCAGGATGCCAGGTTTCCCAGAACAAGCAGGCGTCCTGTAGCAGGGTGAAGAGGCATGTGCTCAGGCAGCTCAGCCCAATCCTTCTTCTGCACAGCCAATCCCCTGGGTTTCTCAGGGCAATCAATGCTGGCAGAAACACCACAGCCTGGCGGCTGCCTCACAAGGTTAGTTCTGACAAAATATAATTGTGGCCATAGGGACGCTGGTCCCATTTTCCAGCAGGTGTAGCTCCCACCAATAGATTGGAGCAACCAGAAAGGCTGCTAGGCAGGGCTGCTCCTGTCACCCTCCCTAGCATCCCGCCTGTTTTTTTCAAAATTAAAGAAAACGGATAAGTGAAATAAAAAAGAAAAAAGCAACGGCCTTGATGCGGGTCGTCTACCGTGGTCACCCGGACGTGCATAGGATTCTGCCGGTAGATTTTATCTTCTTCTTCTTCTTTTTTTTTCTATCTTCAGATTTAGGTGTTTCTCAGATCCTCCTCTGTCACGGACTGGGCCGGTAACGGAGCAGGAAACCCAATCCTGGTCCGTTATCTCACCTCTCAGGCTCTCACCCCTCGGCTGGAATGTCATCGGGATTCGGGATAAGAGCAAAATGTTTTCAGTGGGGAGAAAGTCGATGAATAGAGGCCTCGGAGAAGATTTTCTTTCTTATTGTTTCTCATTAAATAGGACACTTGATAGTTCCAACTAACTTGCAAGCCATGCAATTGGAGACGAGCTGTTCTGTTCATAAATAAAGAACAGACACTTGATAGCAACACGGTCATTCTCTTCACAAAGAACGGACAAAAGAACATTCCAAAGAGACGAGCTGCAGATTAGCAGCTCATGGATCTTGCATGACTGCACACTTGAAGAAAAAAGGGAAAAGAAAACTTGCATGACAGTCACTGCGAACTTTGTGACTCTTTGTCTCGGTAAGGAAGAAACGGTGGATAAGAGAAAACGGAGAATGATGAGCAAGTTCAGAGCAACGATAGGGCCTCGCTCGCTCCTACTGGAGCGAGGCCTACAATGAGAAGCAGGAGGGTTACCTTCATGTGGCGTCGTTCTTTGATGAAATCTGGCGACGTCTTCCCTTTCGTGTAGTCGAATTTCTGCGAATCCGGCAAAACAAGAAGAACTCAGCAAACAGGTCGCAACACCCACGAGGGCCTCCGTCGACAAGAGCGAACGCCTCCAAACGGCAAATTCCAAGTTCCAACTGCTACTACCTGACTAAGGGGCATATGATCCGCATATCCACAATCAATGCACAGAAGCAAAGTGTAATGAGAGTGAGTTAACCTCAACAAGCCACGCACGCATAGAGGGACCAACCGTCTTTCTCAATGACATCTGTGATCGCTCGTCGATTGAGAGAACCCTCCACACACACAGCCAGTGCTGCCATGATTAGTTCCCAACAAGATGGTACACCGGTCTACGACGTACCTGATTGAAATACATCTCTGGACATCGCGGCTCGATGTCGTGTTTCGTGCAGAAGGGGACCCAGGCACGTGCAAAGCTTGCAGTTTCTGTCAGCGATTCGAAGCACAACATTGACGCACCGTCGTCGGATAGATAACATGCCATCCTGAAACGGCAGGAAAACCAACAAATTATAAATACAATAGAATAAAGGGAATATTATTAATATAATACATAAAATATCTCAATATCAAATAATATATTTTATCATATAAAAATCTATAAACAATATTATATAAACAATATGTATCCTACAATAAAAAACAACAACACAACACCCAACCGACCATCTACAAGGTCAACGCTGTAAACATTACTAAACAATAATTCTTCTTCGAGCCATCGACGCACCGTCGTCACATAGATAACATTCCATCCTGAACGCAACAGCCAATCGACCAGCTTCAAGGTCAATGATGCCGATACAATTCTTCTTCAACTTGAATATTCCGAAATTTAATTCTTCCTCAACTTCAAGATTCCAAAGTTTATCACGAAACGACGCAGGAAAGAAGAGCCTTCCCTGGCTCAGGCGGCACAGCCGACCGTTTGATCAACAAACGCGGGATGTGATCTATTATGCMCTTTTTTTTTTTCTTTTTTTTTTTTCAATTATCATAAATTATGCACATTTCTCACGTAACGCTTATCAAGGAGGGGCGAATGGAGAACTGCGTGAGCGAGGAAGGGCGCACTGACACTCTACTTAGTGTACCGTTTTTATCCGAATCGAAGCCCTTGTCATTGAAGCTGTATTTGGGGCGATTTTCAGTCCAGACTCCAGATGCAGCCTTAGTGACCGGGCGATGTAAATGCAATTGTGGTCTGGCAGGTCTGCTACTTCGCAGACCGGTCGTAACATTCAGGAACGTTCTACGGAGGGTATGGTCTAGGCTTCATGTGCAAGTTAGGGCAACCGATTGAGCAAATGACAGGATGAGCGAGTGAGCGCGGGAGCATTGAAGGGCTTTCCACTGAATTTAGCACCGATTATGAGCAGATGCATTCGAAACAGCTCTATCAGTGCCGTGCACTACCACCTCCGACACCTCGCATATGCCCTAAACGAGTTAAGAGAATAAGCCTTTGAGCTGGTGGGTGACCTCGTGGGTGACAGGAGTGTAAGCCGGCGAACTAGATAATTGACTGGATTGTGTAAACCGGCGAAATAGAGTACGGTTGAGTGTTCGCGTAGACGATATCTGTGTAAGAGCAAGTGAAGAAATTTCGAGATATAGGGAACGAGTGACAAAGGGAAGGAGTGAGGAACGTAATGTGTGAGAGTTCTCCGTGCATTTCTCTTCTATTCTGTGTTTCCCTTGTTTCTTTTTCGACTGCCCGGATTGCGTCCTTTGGCATGACAATTGCGCCGCCACAATGCGGCACATCAAGTCCAAAACATTGAAAACAGTACTTTAACATTCTCCATGTTATCATAACTATTTCAAGCGGAATCACGCCGCCGACAATAGCAATTTAACGTTCTCTATTTCGAACGGGGCCCGCGGCCGATGGCTCTGAGCTGCCTGTCGATGTTCTAAACCACCAGTACATGGCCCCAGCCAAGTTGAAAGTCCGATTGAGCTGCCTCTGAGCTGCTTCTCCTAAAATTTCAGGGCCTCGCTTGCCGTCAATAAAATAAATCGAGGGCAGGCGGCCTCCGAAAGGGGCCCGCGGCCGATGGCTGGCATGCACTGGTGAGTCTGGTGGTATAATTGCGATTGGTCTACACAGCAGACGGCCAAAAAATTTGCTTAACGTTTGGCTATTGCTCGACAAAGCTACAAACAAATTGTTATAGTCCTTCCGGACATCCGTTAAAATTGGAACGATACAGAGAATGAAGATTAGCATGGCCCCTGCGCGCAAGGATGACACGCATAAATCGAGAAATGGTACAAATGGTTATAATGGCTTTAATGTTTCGTCTATTACGCCGTTACGGTGCCGTAGCTCATCGCGTGCTTCCTGTTTAAAACCAATGCTTCGGATGTAATCCCCAAGCCAATGGGAGACCGCACGAGTCTGAAAAAACTTCATTCCAAACAACAAAAGAAAAGACAACGTACATATCGGGGACAATTGGAAGTTGGCATTCCGGTTCGCTTTACTCCCACTCTCTTTCCGACTGTCAGGTCAGATGAGACCATCCACAGTGACGTATAGAAGCAACAAGCTCAAAGAGTGAATGAGCCTCCCGTGTCTGTCCTCTTGCGTATGAGTGCGACCACACGTGCTCGCCTCACATACACATGCGCACATGGGCACGCACAGACACAAATATTGAGTCTCACAGAGAGAAGCTCAGAGAACGAGAGGTACACACTATGACACACATGCGCACATGGGCACGCGCATACACAAATATTGAGTCTCAAAGAGAGAAGCTCAGAGAACGAGAGGCACACACTATGACACACACACACACACACACACACACACACACACACACACACACACAGAGAGAGAGAGACACACAGAGAGAGAGAGAGAGAGAGAGAGAGAGAGAGAGAGAGAGAGAGAGAGAGAGAGAGAGAGAGAGAGAGAGAGAGAGACACTGACTTGTCGACAGGATAATCCATGGCGAGCACGGAGAGGATAACGTTGGCAGTGACGAGCGGAGGCTCCTTTTCCGCATCCGCAGTTGTGATGAAGATGTCGATCGGCAATAGTTTGTTGGCTCCTCCTGGCGATTCATACCTGTCACAAGGAGTCGTTGAAACATGTCAGAAACATTTCACTCATTGGAGACCGACAGGCTACCCTTCTCGATTAAGCTGCATGAGTTCCGGAACCACCACTGCATATGCTCAATAAGGTTTGCAATCAGACAACAAGGTCGCTGGACTCGCTGGTAAGCCACAATACTATCAAATTAGTATCAATGAGTACTGGGAAAGGGAGCCCTGCCACCATTCAAAGTTTCCCATGCCGAGGTTGACATCAACATCGTCAAAGAACACACGGTAGGATAGCGAACGAGTGAAAATTTGCAAACATGACGAGCGTCGAGCGAGATTTCCAAGGAATTTCCGAATTTCCTGATTCGCCCACAACTTCAATCACCTCCTTGTAAAACTGCCAGCATTCTAGAACCGGAGTTCCAAACTTCCAGATCACATGGCAGAGCGCGCGCACGCACACACACACAGAAAAGAGAGAGAGAGAGAGAGAGAGAGAGAGAGAGAGAGAGAGAGAGAGAGAGAGAGAGAGAGAGAGAGAAAACGTATTACATGGCAACGCACGCGCACGCACACACACACAGAAGAGAGAGAGAGAGAGAGAAACGTACTTTAGACTTAATCTGTCCAGATAAGTCTCTCTGGTGACGGGACTCCATTTTGGAGTCTGATCAAGAATCCACGAGACGCCAAACCTGCGATCGGTACAGAGGCATAGACAACAAACACAACATCCGTTAAGCTTTGCAGGTAGCAATTCCCGTGAGCTGCAGCCTCAAGTAGATTTGTCCGTACAATCACATCACGATATTCCTAACCTTTTTCCCTCCTGTTTTGCCCAAATTGCCACTCCTATTCATCCAATGGGCATGACGCCGACGCAACGGAGACTCCAACTCAATGACGTTTCACCAACTTTCACGGTACAACGGTACGTCGGTACCACATTTTCAAACGATATCCTGTTGACGCCCCAGCATATGGAGCTGCGTAGTTGCGATTCTTGCGAACCCACATTTCGAAAAGACTCAGCTTAAACAAAAAAAAAAAAAAAAAAAAAGGACTCAACTTCCCCCTTCCATCGAGGCTAGCCATAGAGAATTCACTGACATCAACTGAAAATGACGTTTGCCCGATTTGCCAACATTTCAAAAAAAAAGAACAGGCAGGAGGGCCTTAACTTGAAAGTATTGGGTAAAAAAAAAAAAAAACTAGAACTAGAAACAACGGCGGACGCGGCCTTAACTTGAACGTGTCGTTTTTAAGTTCGAAACGCAAAAAAAAAAAAAAAAAACTAAATGGCACTGTGCTCATGGCGCGAGTTTGAAATGGGAATGACAGTCAAAATAGCCTTTTTTTAGAGGCAAGTCCGTTGTGTCATTGTGTCAGAAAAGAAGTTACAAGGGCAAAAAAAACACGAACGGGCAAGTCCGTTTGTGTCACAAAAGAAGTTAAACTTTGCAAAAGCAACGGCCGCCAATCCCCAAAGGACAAAAAAAAAAAAACAAAAAAAAAAAACAAAGGGCGATGAAAGCACCGTTTGTCCAGGCCGTGGTGTCAGATGGGCCACTTCCACTGCGCTTTGGAGTTTGGAGACCAATGCCTGCCTCTCTTTTCGCCCCTCGTGTTATTTCTGCCTTTACAGTTTCAAATAGTGCAACTGCCGCACTTCTCTCCTTTTTTACCTCCTTTCCCATCTGGCACCAATGCCTGCCCCTGTAGTTATAACATCTGTGCCGCTGTAGCTATAACATTTTAAAGTTTATTCTGGTGTTGTTCTTTCTTTATTCTTTGCATTGTTCTTCTGTTGCTCCTCTCTCTCTCTCTCTCTCTCTCTCTCTCTCTCTGGTGTTCTTTCTTGATTCTTTGCATTGTCATTTTGTTGCTCCTCTCTCTCTCTCTCTCTCTCTCTCTCTCTCTCTCTCTCTCTCTCTCTCTCTCTCTCTTCCATTGCCTTTTCGAACTCGGGGGCTGTTTGTTTTGCCGGGGCGTGCGGCGCCACCGTTGCCACTTTAAAGTTTAAGCCGAACATAACGCACCCTCATTTTCGCCGTATCTGGCCGAAAATGCAACTCGTATACATTCATTTTAAGGGTGCGTTATGTTCGGGGGACGACGGTAGCATATGTCACAGGCGACAGATAAGCACCTAGCATAAAACGTGCACTCAGTGTTTCTAACAAGGATGCACTCCACCTACCATATCTCACAGGCGACAGATAAGCACCATAGAATGAAAGCGTCGTAATTTGGATTCTCCAATCGGAACTTGAGAAAGAGCGCCAGCACCACTCCGCGCACCATGACCATAAATCTGCATGCAAAGAGATGGAGTCAAGACGAAGCCAACGTGAGGAGACGCACGATACTCCTCTATCCAAAGTAGACATCATGGAAGACGAAAATGTCGTTTGCCTGATTGACAAGGCGTTTGCAGTGATGAACTGCTCTGCCATTTCTGAGTTCTGCGATTTCTGAATCAGCAGAATCTTCGGACTCTGTGCGGAGCCTGAGTAAAACCCAATCATGGATGAAGATTCAAGCTCCCTCTCACACAAATACAACATGACACTGAGGACAGACAATACAGCGTCATACAAGCACCCACCCACCCATCTACACAGACGCAGGCGGGAGGAAGTGGAAATGGAAAAAAGAAAGAGAGAGAGAGAGAGAGAGAGAGAGAGAGAGAGAGAGAGAGAGAGAGAGAGAGAGAGAGAGAGAGTGTTCACATGTTTCAGAGGCAAGCAATGGGAACTGTATTGCCGGAGGAGCGGTAATGGTCCAATGGAGAGGTTTAAGAGTGCGCAGACCTTGGGGTATAGAGCTGATAAATTACCTGTATGGGTTCAGATATGCCGAAGCGATGGGGAGTACCCGAAAAAGAGGTCTTTTCGTGTCGTCACATCTGGCAACAATTCCAACCGACAGACAGGCCACATTTTAAAACATAGACAAGGAATTGGACTTACAGCGCTGTCAGGCAGTGTCAGCAGATCTTGATGACAAAATGAAAGAGCCAAGTACGGCCTCGGTTTGCTTCTCTGTGCATCGAAAAACAACGACATGTCAAGACGTAATGGACAGCATCGAAAAAGAGTGAAGAGTACGTACATGATCGTTTGCCCTTCTCCCTTCTTGCTGGTCGAATCGGCGTAATGGACACTACCAAATCCATAATCATGCATATTCTTGGAAGGATCCAGAACCTGCATTGACAGAAGTGCTTTTGGCATTTCCTTTGGCTTTGGCTTTACTGGGACAAGCCCGAGGTTCCGATCATTTGTTCCGCTCCATCGTGCCACCTGAGCCGCATCAACCAGTCGGAGTCAAAGTCAACAACTCATTAGTCAAAGTAATAACAAAGTCAATACTGAGAGTCTATGGAATTCCACCAGGCTTCGGCATAGGTTAGCGCTTCCAGATGTTAAACCAGCACTAGTATCCTTTTCTTCTTTCTTAACCCAGCCTGATCTATCAGGTAAGCAAGTAACTGCAAGTTCACAAGTCAGTCGAAAGTAGATATTCCGTACTGAGTACTCAGTATTATGTCGAACTACCTTCTTCCCCCGAATACAACGTACGGTCATTATAGCCGTATTTGGGCCATCTTTCAGTCTAGATACAGATATAATGACCGTACGTTGTACTCGGGGGAAGAAGGTAGCAGCAGCCGCTATAAAAAACGAGCCGCACGACCAGCTTCTTGCCCGCAGAAAATAAATGCCAAAGGGCCTACCTCAGCTACCTGCATGTATGGCCAACACTGCAAGTATGGCCAACACTTTCCTGAATGTACAACACTGCAAGTATGGCCAAACCTGGATGAATGTATACTGCTACCACGTCCGGAGCTATGTATATAAGTCAATTTTCCTTCCACGAAAGGGGTAAAGACTTCCTCAGTTATTCCCTTGTCACTTTTTTTATTAAAAAAAAAAATAAAAAAAAATGAAAAGACCGGGACGGAGACAGAATCCCTCGGCCTCGAGCGGAGATTATATATCAGAGAAGGTCAAACGATCTCCAGCTCGGGAACATGATCTCTAACATCTTTACGCAACCACTAAATGTGCCATGTGGCCAAGCTTTATACCAAATTAAATTGCGTTTCCTCGGGCCTCGGCCTCATATCAATGAAGCCAAAGCACTGGTGACTCTGGCAACCACTAAGGTAGTGTAGTAAGTCTATAATATCTATTCATTCATCAATGATCAATTTAAGGGCAAATCACAAGAACTATACCGGTCCTGTACCATCTACTTTCGCAACAACTATACAGTCTATACCTGCTTCTTCAACTTTTGTAACAGATTTCCATGTTTCTTCACAGATAAGCCTTTTTTCAGGTATTCCTGTGATTCCCCTATAGTTTAATCGCGTGTGACTCGCCGAATCGACGCCGATTATTATTTGTAGTTTAGCGGAAAGCTGGAGTTGGGAGTCTTGCGACCGACGTTTTCTGAAGAAAATTCGAAACCCAACTTGCAAACCCAATCTGGAATCGACTCACCGGTGTCACTTTGCGGTTTGCTCGATCCACTACCGTCTTTTTCCCGAACAGAAAACATGCGGTCAGTTTACTACTTTCAGAAAAGTTTCAGTAAGTGGGGAAGAGACAGTGAGCGAAGAAGCAATGATGCGATCGATTCCTCTTTTTCTTCTTGCAAAAAGTCAATTGAAATTTTGATCCGCCTTCATCTTCAACAGGATCCGTTACTTGAGAAGCGATCTTTTACTATCATCTCACAACCGCAATCGTTTGACTAAATAATGTATGAATACAGGCGCACACACAGGTCAGATACAACTGAATACTGATTACCGATTTGTAAGTAGTTTCAAGAATTAGGCAGATTGCAATCCGTCACGAGATTCAAATAAGTTGGGGTTCTAACTTCTAACCATAAGCAGAAGAAGAGCCTTGAGATCTTTAGGCTTTTTTTTTTTTTTAGGCATATATAATATTACTGTATGATTTGGGAGCTGTATTTTTCACATAAATACTGAAAATACAAACCTGATTGTCAGGGCCTGCTGTGAGCATGGGTAACATTTTGGGGGTGTGAGCTTCGTCGTCGTGCTGGTCATCCTGCTCCTCCGGATCCTCTGGTATTTTCGGACTGCCTGCAGAAGGAAAGAAAAGAATTGCGCAACACACAGAACAAAGTAAACATGAAAACTCGGCTTTTTTTTTTTTTTTTGTGGTCCGATGAACCACGTATCATTTTATTTTATTTTTGTGGTCCGATGGACCACGGATCAGATATTAAACTGATCAGAACAGATACTACACTTGATCTATTTGTAGCCAAAAGGTCAAGAAACGTATTATACTGGCACAGTTTTAGACCCCGCTAAACTAAACGGCGCATTTCGGAACTCACACCATGACATCGGCGCGACTTTGTCTTTTCTTGCCTATTTCAAACTAAACGTGTCCCAAAGCCTACAGCCACAGTTTCCCCATAATAAAAACATAGCTTGATTCATTGCAGCAGTCCCCCGATGACTCTCAACGTGTCCGCCTAGGGTCATTCAGCGTCTTTTTGCAACACGCAATGAAGCAAACCGTCAAAAGCAATTTGGAGAAAGCCTCAAAATACAGTAAGTTCAAACAACATCTTTTATTTAAACAAACAGGCTCGATATGGAATCTGACATGAGATGCCCTTCTCAGCCTTCACACAACCCCACCCAGGCGGTAGTGCACAGACTGCAGAATAGTACACTTGGGTAAGGTGTCCTGACGCCAGAAATTGTACCTTAAAAGAAAAAAAGAAAAAAAAAAAGTACCTTTCATACGCTTGAAATTTTCGTGGCATTGTGGACATTCCCCTCCTTCGTGCTCTCGGATATACTCGTAACACGGGCGGCAAACCGGAAAAGCGCATTCACACGGCACGAACGGATCACCCTTCGCGTCCCTGCCCACTCTTTCCCGACAAATGGCGCACTTGAGATCTTTTACTTCTCCGCTGTAGTACATCTGCAGCACCACGTCATCACACACACGACAGTTCAACTTGCAGTTCTCTCCCGCCCCACACCCCCCCCCTCCAAAAAAAAAAAAAATAGAGTGCACCCAAAAGAAATGTCTTTGAAATCGATCCCCGCGACATGAACAACGACTCATGCAACAACGTCGCCCCGGCGTATTTCATAGCACGGCCGAGTCGGGCCGACCCCCGATGCTTTGCAATCAGTTCCGCTCGACTTCAAAAATCCGTACGAGGTACCTTCCCTTTCTCTTGTTTTTTACTCTCTAAGGGATGATTCCAACAGATCTTACCTATCCCACAAATCAGGTCCCGTTTCTCTTCCGAACTGAAATGAAGTGCAATGAACGGAAGTGAAGTTCAATTGCTTCTGAGGAATGCGTTTGTACACCTGAAGAAAAAATCGCTGTTTCAGAGTAGCTTTTTTTTTTTCTTTCTTGAACGTATGCACGCCATGTTTCCGGCCCGATACAGTCAAAATGAGGGTACGTTGTGTTCGGGGGAAGACGGTAGCCAACGTGAAAATTGCCAGGACGAAAACGGTACGGACTAAGCATTGAAAGCACCCACATACTCCTCGGGAAAACCAAGGACAACCATCGTGAAAAATCAACGGCACCTTCTCCTAGATGAGCACCTCTTTCTTCCTCTTCTTTTTTTTTGTCTTTTTTTTTTCTTTTTTTTCTTTTATTTCTTTTTTTTTTTCTTTTTTTATTTCTTTTTTTCTTTTTTTTTTTYTTTTTTTTTATTTCCCAGACGCCGGTTTACTAGGCCAGGTGATAAGAGCAGCCTCTTCTAGCATCCGTCTAATGGGTACCCCAATCTATTGTTGGGGATTCACACCGGGTCCATCGTCCCATCAAACATCGTTCGGATTCTTCGGAATAGATTGAAACTGCAGGTATGTGGAAAATCAAACTGAAGTTGCTGAAGGTCAAGCTGTAGCTGCTGGACTATCTGAAGAGCTAAAATTGAGATCTTTGAGGAGGCCAAAGCCTCTGCTATTCAAATCCCGTCGTTGACACCTCTTGACTTCCGCGTGTGCCCAGGACAGAGCTCGTGTGTACCCTGTTTCCGTCTCTGTGCGCTAGAGAAAGACAGATGGATAGACAGAGAGACAGCGAGGGAGAGGCCGCGACGTACCCTGACTCCGTCTCTGTGCGCCTGTCTGTCAGACTCTGTCTCTCTCTCTACCTGGCCCCGCTTGCGGCAATTCTGCAATATACAATAGGAGTTTTGAGGATGTATCCCCCCGCAGCTCGGACAAACGTAGTCGAAGAGGTTAACTTAACATTACTCTGAGTAGCATGGAACGTAGCTCTCTGCTTCTCCTTTGTCTCCCTCACTTCTACGCGTCTCATGTCTTCCAAATTCGTAGTGTCTATGTTTGTTTTTTTCTCTCTCGGCCAACGTACAGTAAGGGTAAGTTTCAAAAATAGAGCGTTCAGTAAGGGTATAGTTTCAAAGCAAAAGTAGAGGCGGGTCCAAGTTTCGTTGCAAAAATACTTGCGGGCGGTGATTTTCGCTGCAGCTTTACAGGTCCCGGGAGTTTCACAGCAAAAATATTTGCGGGCGGGGTCCCACTTTCGCTGAAAATTTGAAAAAATACATATTTCGGACCCCGACAACATTTCCTCTGGGAAACTTTGAAAACGCGCTGTTTCTGCAATTACCCCCGTACAGTAAATATCAAGACGCTGTGGCGGGCGTGGGCTGACCAAGACGTGGGAAACTTCGTTTTTCCTTTTTTTTGGTTTTAACTACGCCAGATTCTTCTCTCAATTTCTTTTTTTTTTTTTTGAAATCCCTGAAATCGCAGGGGCCATGCTAATCTTCTCTGTATCGTTCCAATTTTAACGGACGTCCCGAAGGACCTCTCAATTTCACCTAAACACTACCAACCTACTAGGATACTACTACTACCAATCATAGTATTATTACGTGGTAGCTGCGACAACCGTGTTCAAGAGAGAACATGCAGGAGCTGCACCCGACCTGCAGATGGCGATCGTGGTTCAGGTTTGGGTCATTAACAAATATCCAATATTGCGTGCCGAGATTACCCTCAACTTCCCTCAAGTAATGGCTAGGCTCAAGCTTGGGTCATTCACGAGCTGCTCAGATTACCGTAAGAAAGGGCGAATCAACAGTCTTCGGACCCTGAAAAATCTGAAATCAAGGGTGGTACCAGTTTCTGTAACGAACACCAAATATTGCAAATTTGGTATTTGCCCCTCAAGGTTTCGACTCTGAAAAATTGTTGTTTACCCCTCAAGTTCGGCAATATCGGGTAAGCTTTTGCCTACGGTCCAAAACATCCCAAGTGCTCCTAAGATTCGCCGACCCCCTTGCACGCACGTACCCACCGCGCTAAGGTCCAAAACATCCCAAGTGCCCCTCATCTTGTACTGACCTTAAAGGTGTCGGTTTGCCACTCCCCTTTCCAACGAGAATCACGAGATGAATAATACCGGTCTGAAAATTCCCGCTCACGACGTCCGCCGTCGAATATTTCCTCTCCACGGCTGTTTAGCGTGCTTCTCGGCCTTCCCACTGGCGTGTCGCGCCGGAGGGAGGGTTCTCTCTCTCTCTCTCTCTCTCTCTCTCTCTCTCACACACACACACACACACACACACACACACACACACACAG